TCCAATAACGAACACAGAGGAAAGTGTTGCTGCAACGTACCAACGTCTGTATGGTTTACTCGATAATAAAGCCTTTAAGGAGATTTATCAATTTATGATAAATCATATTACCTTCGAGATCGGAGGCCTAATGGACGGAGGAACCGATTCTGTGATTATGACACGCCATAAAAAGCGTGTTTTTACATCCACGGGTTTCGGAGATTTCCTTTTACCGGGAGAATTAAAGGCCAAGTAATATCCATACCCCCTACTACGCGTAATTAGTTTACCAAAAGGTAGACCGCGGTCATTGGCAATTTATGAAATCGCTAAAAGCACAACTAAAATATTATCTGTGATGTAAATCACGGGGTTATATCGCGGATACCGTCGGATAGCCTTGACAAGTAATTCTGGTGTGTAGTGGTGCTCGTAAAAGGGCGCGATACACACCTACGCCAACCCTACCTGCTCGGACGAACTGCGCACCAAAGATAAGAAATTAAATGGAATTCTTATAAGCGGGCAATAAGCGTCCGTCGCGTCCATAATATCGCCGCGCCGGTGACGCCGCGCCGCGAGAAAAGGAAGTATTCGTGTTTTCTTGGATACCGGTTACGAGGTCCATGAAGCCTGCACGCGGCCCTGAATGCCGTGGCCGTGAGAATGCGTGCAACGCACTTTCCGACGCGATATCGGTTCATCAGTAACAGTGTCTTCTCGGCCGGTGGTGGGCCCGATTAATTAGCCGCCGGGCCCGCCGGACCCGCCGTGACTTTTGTTCGCGCACCGATCTGCAAATTTGTAAATTCCGTCGCGGCGATGCGAATGGACATGGGGAACTTACAATAGACATCGTTATTCCATCGACAACACTTTATCGCGCTTTAGCTTCTGCAATTAGCAGCGTCGTTCCGCGAGATGCGATCTCCCGCTGGAGAGAAGTATATAATATCAGATAGAACGATTGCTGTTTAAAATCATAACCGCGTGAGTACTTGGTGAATTAGCACTAAAAGTCCCGATGGTCAATCTGTTCAATACTTTTGTCAGAAATGAAAATCAAATAAAATTGTTTTGAAAATATGAACAACCGTGCAAGATAAAACTGATAAACGATGCATGAAACTATGCAAGTAATATATGGAGTCACATAAGAGTTGATAACAAACCCTGTCACGCTAGTCAAGAATTAATGGCGACACCCGTCGTAATGCCGTCGATGATCGTCGAAGAAATCTCGTCGCAAGAACGTACCGGAACGTTGCCAGTCATCGACGCTATACGATCGTCTTGTCGCGGAATAGAGAAGCGAGCGATAGAATATAAGAATATCGAGGCAAAACACAATATCGAAGCGATCGCCACTCCCGCCGGCCTTTACGCATAAATGTGGATCGCAAGTTTTTGCACGGGTCTCTTTTTACTTTAGAACGAATCCTTTCTATCGGGCAATTCCAAAAGGAATATTCGAAATGTTTCGCTAAGTCATGGCAGAACAGCGTGAGCGAGATGCATCGCGAGATTGTCTGCCGCCTTTTTTTGCGCGTCGTTGTTAGAGCGAAACGACGTGCGTTTCGTTCGCATCGAGCGCATCGACACGTTGACGAAAAAGGCCAAAGACGCCGCACTGCATCGAGGTGGATAAACGATAAATAAATATAACCGTCTTTTCCGCGATCATATTTCACTGCCATACAAACAATTATTTATTTCTAAAAAAAAAAATAACGAGAACAGTCCCGTTGCACACGCACCGACGCTTTCATTATTCAAACCGGCTAATAGGTCCCGGTTTCGCCGTACCAAGTTAGTTACAAGAAATCTTGCAATATTAATACACCGTCCCGGACAGCTCTTTAAAGACACGTCGTTATCGATTACACATTCATTTTTCTCGCCCCATTTTCCAAACCGATCTCTTATCGCTGTACCGCGCATACTTCTTCCACGTGTGAAATTATCAGTGGTCGAAATCCCGTTATGCGGCGACTGATTTTACAAAATAAATAAAGTGCCGTTGTATAATAATTGCCGTACACGTGAAGTGGTTTGCATTACCATATATCAAAAACAAAATTCGCGTAATATATTTATTTATTGATTGAAAGAGTAGGTTTCGTAATTGTCTGATAAACGGCGTTACGCGCGCAGTTTTTCACTGCAAACGAGAAAGTGAATGAAGGAACATAAAAAAAACAGCACTGAACGCGTCACGGCGTGTTTATATATATATATATATGTATACTTATCCCTTTCGCAAATATCGTGTAATAATAAGTTATAGTAATCATAAATACGATGTATCCTCTCGTCGCTATAAATTTAACTTTATTTTTATCTTGAGTGCCAACCTAATTGGCTTTAAGAGTTTTGGCCCTCTATTTGATATACCAACTCCGGTGGTAGTAACAGTAAAAATTCTGTGTGAAGTTGGTATATCATTTTGTGGAAATTCACAAAACATAAATATGTTGAAAGTTTTGGCTTAATTTTTTATCGTCCTATAGATTTCTACAAATTAGACAGATAGTTCTGATCATTACTTTCGAATACCGATCATTGTCTCACAATCAGTTTTATGTATCCAGCGGTGCATTTCATGAGGAGCGAAAATTATTTAAGAAATACAAAGTAATATTTCCTCTGTCAGAACTCTTTATAAAATAGTTAAATATAATACGTTCAGAACTCCATGAGAAATATTTTATAATGAAACTGTGAAAATCTTTCAACGTCTCATGTATGGACGGATGTTGAAAATTGTTTTAAAAACTCAAAAGTAATATTTATTTTCACAACTCGATATAAAACGTTTAAATAATTAAACTGTACAAGAACTTAATTCTTTTAAAATAATTATAATTATTTAGAATTAGTCAGCATTTCATCCCCAAAGATACTCGAGCGATAAAATAATTTAACAATTACAAAAATAATATTTATCGCCAGAACTCTCAATATACCTATGTATATATAATACACATATACTTTATGAGTTTCCACAAAGGAACTTTCCACACCATCTTCGCATACACGTGAAATTTTGCTTAAATGTTTCTTTTTTCTTAATTTACATGAATAAATATGGAATATATATATATGCATTATGAGTCCACGTGCGATTTAAAATTATGACGCGCAAAAGTATTATATGACATTACGTGAAAATTAACTTATCAACAGTTTAAACTTATTAACATATTCAAGAACATTTAATTTTTATATAAAAATGTGCGTATATATGTGCAGAATATTCCCCACAATATAACATTGTGTGTGGTTGTCGTAAGTACTGGTTATTATACATATACCTTCCAATTCGGGTGCTACGCGCCCGGATACGTTGTGCGTGTACTATATAATCGAGCGACATCCTAACATTATGCAAAAGACTACCGATTATATATTACCTGTCGCATCGAAGTTATCGGAAAAAAAATGTAAAATGGTATACACAAAGTGGACATTAAAGAATCTTGTAACTATCGTATACGTTACTTCAAAATTCAGAATAAACACAAATCCTAACATTAGAAACATTATAGAATATATGTGCATAAATTTTATGTGTTGTACAAAATTCATTATTTATATCATAAAGCACGTAATCAAGATTATTATAATAAAAATAAATTTTGTTTAATATTAAATTTATATTTATATACATATGTATGATTTCTTCAAAACGTTACTATGATCTCATTATAATTTAAAATTAAAATTAAAAATATCTAATATTAATATATCAAGTATAAATAAATACACGCTTTCAATATTTTGATACTTGAATTTCTTATATTGCTATAGAACGATTTTAATGTGTACATAAATTTTATGTGTCGTAAAAATTTGTATATCAAAAAACGTAATCAAGAATATTAGATAAAAATTAGTTTAATTTAATATTAACATACATATGTATATGTATTTATATGTATACGGCAAAGTATGCCCCCCGGTGAAATTATTGTTACAGATAATAAAAATAAATTAAAAATGCGGTAAATATGCAGTATAACGCCCTCACCTTCGATTTTTGTAAATTATTCAGAATTTGTGTTTTTATGCGAAAAATATATTCTCAGAACGGAAATCATCGCTCATATACCGTTTATTTTTAATTAATTTTTAAACTTTTTCGATGACGGTAAGTAAGATAATAATAATTTTTTTTTAATATTTTGACAGCTTAAATTTTTGTTAACCTGTTAATTTATAATGAATATGAAATTACATGAATTTTTACAAAATAGTTTGTGCATTTCATTAAAATAGAGAAAAATAACAAATATTCTTTGCTTTAGAATAGTTTGTGTTTTTGATTAAAACTGAGAATAATGACACATATTCTCTACATTACTGTTATTTTAACAAAATAATTTTATTGAAGTCAGAGAATAATGACAAATATTCTCTACATTACGGTTATTTTAATAAAATAATTTTATTGAAGTTGGAAGCAACAGACTTTTACATAATTGAAGTAAAGCGAAAATATTGCGAATATTGTGCATGCGTATTAATATAAAATGAATAATATACACATTTATGAATTATCATTATCTTACTTACGGACATAAAAAAAGTTTAAAAATTAATTAAAAATAAACGGTACAAGAGCGACGATTTTCGTTCTCAGACAATATTTTACGCATAAAAACACACAAATTCTAAAAAATTTATAAAAATCAAAGGTGAGGGCGTTATTCTGCATATTTATCAAAAATGCATATACGTATGAAACAATTTAATAATTTTTAAACAAATACGTTTTTCAATTTAAAACATAGTGGGTCTGTTTTTTTTATAGCTGAACTGGCTGCGCTAGTTCAGAGTTTATCTTTCTCCTTCTAATGTGCAGGGAAAGAGATAAACGCTGAACAGGTGCAGCCAGTTCAGCTATAAAGAACAGACCCATTGATAAACGTCTAGTTGCCCGTCTAGGGCCGGGACCTTCCTTAGCAGCTGTTGCTTCATCCATGTTGAACAGCTATTGCTTGTTCTTAGATCCGCTAGGTCAAAATGTCGCCTAGTGCCATGCACGATTGGAACGCAAATGTAAAAATACTATCATATTATCAGACGTATAATTCGATATTATTGCTTTGACACTCTTCAGTCTAGATCCGATAAGGTGAGTACCATTATCGTTGTCATGCAAGCTAGTGTGTGTGAACGACATGCACGTGTAAAGTTGTTAGATGTGACATAACCTCTTACGCTCGACGTTCGACTATTTTCTTGCATATTACGAGAGTGAGTAAAAAAATATCTGCACTTTTGTGTAAATAAATTGTAGGACGAAAAGTTCAAATAATTTTTAACTCGCCCTCGTATTTTAATTTTTTTCCTCGTTTCTAATCTTGGACAACTCTATACAGTGAGTTTTATCGCACGAATGTTTGTATATATTTTCTCAAATATATCAAGTCTCTCTAGGAGCAAGCCGTTCTTTATTTTATCTAATTTCGTTTCTTTTCAAATTTTTTAGTGCGGGGGCCTATAATAATCATGGATCCGCAAATTAAACAAAAGATCCAGCAATTTGAGACCTTCGTAAACAACGTGCTGAAAGCTGATCTTGCAAAACTAGCGGAGAAACTTGACGCTAGAAATACCGACGTCGCCGAGTTTCTGCAACTAAAATTGATGATAACGACGTTTCAAAATACAAACGTCGAGAAAACCGGCTTCAAGACCAAAGTTGACATTGGAAATAACTTCTTTATTCAAGCACATGTACCAGATGCTTCTCAGATCTTACTGGACGTTGGTTTAGGACACTACGTTGAATTCACCTTGGACGAAGCCTTAGTCGTTATAAATGTACGGATCAAGCTACTCGAGCAACAAATTGCGAATTTACGTAAAGCGATTGCAAGGACCAACGCACATATTAAGATACTCCTTATTGCCATTAGCGATTTGCAAGGATTGAGCGAAAAAGTTTGATAAAAGCTGCTGTGACAAAAAAACGACTTAATATAACAATATTAAAATGTAAGTTAAGTTTATTTCTAACAGACAAGAGAATTGTCCCGCACTAGGTGCATATGTGGTAATTATACGTAACTTATTTTTATAAATTTATAAATAAACCCGTAGAAAAAAAATAGTTTCACGTATTGTTTCAAAAATTTTAATGCCCTGCTCTTCTAAGACTCGTAATTGTAAGACGGTTTTTTTTTATCATTTACTATGTACCATGTCAAAGGTTGCGGTAATTAAAATCAATAACTAATATGGTATTTGATAATACAGTTTTCGTTTAATACGTTTTTAATATATCCTTGATTGGTCAAGGACTTGTGAAACGTATATTATTCCAAGATAAGGCACGTTTCACAAGTGTCTCACGCAAGTTCTCTGTTCTCTTCATCAAATTTTAGATGCAGTCACTTATATACAAATATCAGAGTAGCCCTCCCCAAGCAACTTTTTCCTATTATTCTCCTTTCATACGTGTATTTTGTACTTTATGGCGTAGGCTGTCTCTAAGCTATACTGTCTACAAGCTAAAATCTTACATTATATGCTTCAGTGTTTATCAATATACTTATACATTATCCATATTATCCATCTTTAATAGATATAAAATGTTCGCCCAATGTATTTACTTATTAAGTGTTCAAGATCTTGAAGAATAATCCAGAGTTTCTGGAAGGTGCTGTTAATAATATTTAGAGTAGAAAAATTTTAATTTTGAACTATTAACAATCCAATATTATAAAAATTATTTATTCATTTATTTAAATACAAAGTACTTTTTACCTTTTTAGGGGATATTAATGTTTATCTCAAGTATAATTATCAATATAAGTTTTGTTAGAGAAATCGAGCAATTTAATTGTTTTCGTATAATAAAAAATTCACACACAATTATTTAATGGTTGAAAGACTGTTATTTTTTTGTTTAAATATAAACATTAAAAGTTGATATTAATATGACATAATTAATATATAATATATTTAAAAATATATTTTGGAAGATAAATAAGAAAAGTTGTTAAAATATTTTCCATATAACCCTTATACAGGGTGAGTCGTAAGGTCTGTCCCAACCTTTTACTATAAGAGGTGAATTGCCGACCGCAACTGTAGTCAACTCGGGAAAAAATTGATAAAATCTCGTTATACATGTCTCAATTATGTAATATCTAATTATATATTGAGATATGTAATTAGATATTACATGATTGAGACATGCAGAACGACATTTTATTCATTTTTTCTTGAGTTGGCTGCAGTCGTGGTCGGTAATTTACGTCTTATGGTAAAAGGTTGGGACAGCCTCTACGACTCACCCTGTATAAACTTCCGTCAGTAAATAAGATTTTATCGTCAGTGAGTAATATCATATTTTCAATATTAAAAAAATATGTAACGTTCTATGAAAGTTAATTACATTTTACATAGCATTTGTTCACAAATAATTTTGTGTTGTAACTAAATAGAATATTCTTTTAACAGTGATCAATAGTAAATATTTTATCGGTAAGCTTCCAATAATGTTGCTCTTGAAATAGACAGATGGCATCGACGGAAAGCCTCAAATTGTATTTTCTTACACTATCTTTTAAAATGTATATATGTATGCATATATTTTTCTTTTACAATTGTATTTGCATGTAATAATTTAGTTGGTCTCAGCTAACAGCAAAACAAAAAAAGGAGAGCTAAAAGAAATGTAATTTTTTCCATTTAACATTAAAATTTTTTAAAATAGACAAGCGAAATATTTAATACATATTTCAAGAGCTCACAAAATATTACAAATACTTAAGCAAAATGTATTATAAATGTTTTATAAATATTCGATATTCCGAAATACCGGTTCCAGTACATTACAAATATTTTTTTAACCACACCGTTTAGCAATTATTTTTTAAATATTTTATGTTCCCTTAATATTATAAATCATTATATTTCATACGCATATATTTTCTATATTTATATTTCCATATGAATTTAAAATCACCTTCTTTTCTTATCATGGAAACATATTCTTCGTAAAAATGCAAAAGCATACACTTGCATTCCGATTTCTACAGAGAGGAAAAGAAGAAGGAATAACGAATTCCGGACACGGAAATCAATTTGTCCGGTTCAATTATGCGAAACGCAGTAGTTGGATGATCTGATTAAGGGAGGTCGAGCAGTAAATTTCTAATACTAAGAGGAGGTCAATTCGTGACTATCTTCTCAACTTGGATCGTAATATCAAGACAAGTACGAAGTCGGCTAATCCACATTTAAATAACTACGAAGAAGCCGTACATCTCTATACTGAAATATAATTTGCCACCATGGCTGTATGCTTGCATTCATACTTTTGCACGTAAAATATTTTTATTATTATTGACTAATTTAATATACTCAGACTATTTCAGATTTTATGCCAATATAATTATTCGATAGACATAATATGGAAAATATTATTAAAATGTGAATTATTATGTAATAAAATACTAAATTAACAAAAAAAAAGATAAAAGTATGCTCATTAATTCTTTTTTAGTCGCATGTAATGTCCACATAGTCCTATGTAAAATAAAAATACCCCAAGAAATTATTAACCCATCGAAAGCCACGAATTGTAAAATTGTATATTGCTAAATACAATTGTATATATTTTTAACACTATGTAAAAGAAAAATATATATACTTTTTATCGGAATGATTTCAGTATGTCGTTCTCCCTTATTTGACGCATATTTTGAAAATGGAAGTATTCGACGACGAATCTTTCACAGGGTAACTTGTTCGACAATTACAACCCTGCCATTCCAAGCCAGCGTTAGGGGTTCTTGGCCTGCAGATGAACGTAAAGCGCAGTAGAGTACCGACCCGACGGGTTGTTAACATCAATATATTGCTTACACAAATGTTGGTTTCTTAAATGTCGATAAACATGCACAAATTGAAGTCACAATGTGGGAAGAGCTTGCCCAATCTTTCTTCAAAGGTATGTACATATCTCATGCGTGTACTTCAACGCCGAGTTTTTAACGCTGCATTTATATACCATTTCATTAATTAACGTTATTGATTTTTGATCCCATATTATGTCGCATATCATGTTCCATGATTTTAAATCTTAATACAAATAAAAGGCGTTTATAATTGTTATTACACATATTATGTGATAATATAAGGATATGTTTAAAATATTACTTAATAATATAAAATATTTATATTGAGTATATGTGGGAACGTACCTAGAAACGTTATCGAATATACGAAGTATATTATTGCTATACATACTGTCACGTACGGACAAAAATCTTACAATTTTTACTAGAATTTTCTTCCCACTA